AATTTCCATTTTCGTTAAATTCCGCCTACATAAGGTCAAATTTCCCTCAATTAGCATTCGTATCCTACGCAATACAAGTTTTTGTTGATTGAATTTGATTCTATTTAGCATATTAAAACAGACATACTCTTATTTGATTTGATATTTTTTGATTAATTCCGCCACAATTACATGTTAATTTACGCTCACTGGCCAAGAATTAAATGTTTGACTACAAAATACTTTAAGCAGTTGGGCGGGGGGGATGGATAGCTAGAGGGGCCCTACAAATCAATTTTGCCTTAAAAAGCTTACTGACTCCGTCCTATCAGCCGACAGCCAGACTGAGATTCCATTTTTATTGTGGTCCCCTAGTATTTGTTATACTTTTTATATTCAGTTTAACAAAATCTGGCTGACCATGTTGCCCATTATAACGCAGGTTGTCTATACTTATTCTTTTCTCTAGAAAAAGGTAGGAATAAAAGGATACCATTATGTTGATGCGGCCAAAGTCTTCTTGCGTATGCCTCAAATGACGCACAGTTAACCCCACTCAATGATGGTCTGTCGTCCAAGGCAACCCACAACCCACCCTCTCTCCTCTCGTTTCCAAAATGCTGGTCGTTCAACTGAAAATTTAGGCTACTTATTACGAAAGCTATCATTGTTTTAAATGTGAGGCGGCCAACTCTCCTTCACATTAAAGTAGTGCCTAAGCCAACTGTTCAATATTGGATGTCAGAAAGAATTTTTTTGGCGACTTTAAAATTGGCTTGCTCAGTTAGGTTTCAGCTAATACCATTGAAATTGTGCGAAATCATGCAAATACCTCCCGAATCCCGGATCAACGAGGTCAGTACTGGCGCGAAGACAAGCTAAGGGATGAACGCTGTGAGCTTGCCAAGGAAGACAGTAAGGTGGACCCGAGAGGACCTGACAACCAGTTTGTCCTGCAGCGAAGCTTATAAGCGATTCGGCCAAACAGCAACACCAGCAAGGTAGTTTAAGTAATGGACCTTATATACCCCAAGCGCTAGCATTCTGTCGTACGGGACCGGTGTTATTAGGGGTTTTGAAGGCGGAGAAAAAGGATAGGGCATGAAGTGAGTGTGTAGAAATAAGTGTAAAGGGGTAAACTGTAGTTGAATTTGTTTACCGCGACCGATGGATTAAAGCGCGAAAATTAAAAAAAATAGTAAAAAACAGCATTTAATAGATAAGAGGTATTTGAATAAACAACCAGACGTAAATTTGTGACAAGTCAGTAACCAGTGGAAATAATAGCTAACATGCATATAGTAGTTATTAAAGTATATTACAACATTCCAGCATAATTATGCACCGTGTCGTCGGCGCCGCAATGATTAAAATCACTAACCGAATGTGGTTTACCACTGTACAATTACGTTTGAAACTTTCCTCCATGGCCTATCCTAATTCCCTATTAACACCCGTCCCGTAAGACAGAATGCGGGACAAGAGGAATATGAGGTCCACTTCTTAAACGTCTTTTACCCAAAAGCCTAACTATCCTCTTACGGTCCGCTGGATGACAACTCAGACAAGTTGCCAAACTCACTAAAGGATTACTCAAGTGGCACGCATTTAATGTACTTATTCCAGTGAGATTTCCCCCCCCGCTTTAGGACAATATATATGGCTAGGATTAGCATATCCGTTGATTTTGCAATCGTCTTCGAGGTCAATAGGGACGAAATTACCATACTCCCCCTAAGGTTCTTCACCGCTACTTGAATCTATGTAGATTTCATTTGATGGCCTCACAATGGAAGCATGTTTTTGCACCTGGAATTTCTATTATTTGAAAGGTTTGCCACATCTGACGCCCTCGAGTGTGAGTCTACAACGACTGTACAATGCGGAGACGAGAGCGGAGGAACCGATTCTCATCATAATCAGTCCCGGCGCTGATCCCTCTCAGGAGCTGGCTGAAGCGGCACAGGCGAGCATAGGAAAGGGCAACTACCACGAGGTGGCAATGGGTCAAGGCCAGGCGGACTTGGCCCTCTCAGAGATCACCTCAGCTGCAGAGTCGGGTAGCTGGGTCTGTCTGAAGAACCTCCATCTAGTGACCTTTTGGTTACCTGTCCTTGAGAAACACATAAAC